TTGTGAAAGGCAACAACACGTTGATGCTGAAAGTTGCGTTCCACTCAGCTGTGTCAGAAACCCGGTAAAACTGCACATCATCCTGCTGGTTTCCGGTCTTTAAGATTCCTCTCTGGGTCAGACTGTTGATCAAAGTCAAGTCGTGGCTCAGCTGGTACAGCCTCTCCTCTGTGGCGATGTAAAGCATGTTGGGGGTCACGGCAAATTGGCGGATGTCTCCATCAAAGGTGAAGCCTTCATCCTCCTTCTGGCACAGACCCAGTTCTCCAGAGAGAACAGAAAGCAGAGCGAGCAGCAGGATCATCTTATAATAATGATAATTCTACTTGGGACATGCTCACACAGCGATGCTCTGCGTGGCACTCTGCTCTCTGACACTGTGTCTCTATACTTGTTCGTAAAGCTCAGAGCGCACAGCTGAAAAGAGAACTGCTGGAAGGAGGAGGGCTGGAGCGTGCCAAGCGAAAGTGAAAATATTTGAACATTTTCACTCAGCTGTTTTCGTCTCATTTCCACCCCGTACCTCTGTACAGGCCAAAGGAACCCAGATGTGTCCCTTAGTCAGTTACTTTCTGCAGCAAGTTTGCTCACTACGGTTTAGTTCTTACTGTTCCAAACATATTTAGTTTTAGTTTCAGTCTTAGTTTTGGTAATTTTTTAGTTATTATTGTATGGAGGTCTTATGTTAGAGGCAACAATCAGCAAAATCAGTACAGTATTACAATAAAAGCACACACTGTTGAAATAGTTGTGTAGAAATCTCAAAAAATATGTGCATCAAAGCCTCATAAAGCAAGTTCAGATTCAAATGTACCAAACTAACAAACACTAAGTGCATATTTTCACATGTTCATTTTAGTTTGTTAGTTTTCTAGCATCGTAAGATTGTTTCAGTTAGTTTTCAGTTTGGTCTAGTTTTGTTTTAGTTAACTAAAATGTTTTTGTTTTTTTTAATCACATTTTAGTTTTTAGTTTAGCTTTAGTTAACTATAACAACCTTGCAAGTTATACGATGATATCCATCTCAACAAGAATCAGAATCCAGAGTGGATGGAAGCATTTCAGTTACAATCATTTCTCAACTGAATTCCCAGTCCATGTCATGTAGTATGGGTACTATTCAATCAAAAATCATGAAGCAATTCACTAATCGATAACATGTTTGTTACAATCTGTTTAATGCTGTACTTATTAACATCTGTCTGTCAGTTAATGTCAAATAAAAACAAACAGCGAAACTGAGTTTGATGTATTTTACTTTCCCCTTTAACAAATAAGGAAATTGAACTGTGGACATAATAAGAGGCGATTTGGTGTTAGTGTAAAGCCAGATTTGACCTAAATCAATGGAAATATATGAACTGAGAAATAATTCAGACACAAAAGCCATTTAGTCCTGAGTTTAGAAATGTGATGGAAACTCTCAGCTAAGGACACACTTAGAGGAGCTGAGACGTTAGCACAGGCAGAATTCTGATATGCGTTGTGTCTGGATCTAATGTGATGATCTTTCCATTGAACAAATGATGTGTCCACTGATTAACATGAGCAGAAGAAATCTCAGCCAACTTTTAAAAAATGTAATATAAAAACTTCCTACACGTTTTAACTTGAGAACAGCAACAGCGACATCTAGTGTCAGTGTTGGGAAGTACT